CATCATCCTCGATGATAAACTCAGAATAATAAGCAAACCCTTGCGGAGTAACTGAATACGGAAATCTACCGATTATTTTAAGGTTAACCGAACGCCTCCTCTCATTCATTTTTTTACGTAACAACGATACCAATTTATCGTACTCCATAGTAAGCGGCAATTTAGCATGACATTGTGGAGGTGAGCTATACCTCACAGAGTTATTCTCCAACATAACCTCACCCCCTCCAATATAGTGAAACCCTTATTTTTGCCACTTCAGACATTGTAAAAAAATAACTGATAAGAAGAAGAGAGAAGTATGAACATAAGTTTGAAATAAAGTATTGAATGAATTTTTATAAAATTGAAACGCCTTTAAATAAGGCAAGTCCGACGTTGGGGTGTAGAATTTTTCTATGTAAAACGCAGTATAATACTACGTTTTATGTATTGAATTATTGTTATGTCAGTTCATTATTGGTACACAATTATTTAATATAAAACGCATTATTATACTGTGTTTTACAAATATATCTTAGTAAAACGCAGTATAGTACTGCGATTTACAAATTTTTTTTTTTAAAGTAAAACGCAGTACTATACTGCGAATTACTTTAACGGCAAAATTTTCGTTAACGTAATTCGCAGTATAATACTGCGTTTTACTCATTTATGTAATTTTTTTTTTTTAAAGTAAAACGCAGTACTATACTGCGAATTACTTTAACGGCAAAATTTTCGTTAACGTAATTCGCAGTATAATACTGCGTTTTACTCATTTATGTAATTTTTTTTTTTTAAAGTAGTACAAATGTGTTTTTTGTCAAAAAAATGATTAAAAAGGTTTCGGACTCTCTAAAACTGGGGCAGCCCAAAAAAGGGAATTAATAATAATAGTATCACTTAAAATTGTACAGAGAGGAAAATAAGACCCCGCAACATTTAAGGCCCTAATGAAAAAATGTGTACAAGTTTGAGTGGTCTTCATCTATTAACAGAAAATCTACGTATATTTTCATGATGTTACTCATTAAAAACAATTGATTTCTAATGGAATCTCAGTAAGTAAAAGTGGTAATAACAAATATAGATTGCTCCTTTTCCAAAATATTATCTGATGCACAATTGAATACTGTCATGAATTGGCTGGATCAATTTAAGTTAGCCGTTGTCTTTAATTTCTTTCACATTGAAAAAAAACAAATAAAGGAAATACTCCCTCTGTCATGAATGGGCACATATGAAGGTCCGACCAATGAAGATGCTGAGATGGATGCGTAAGCATATTATGAGAGATAGGATTAGGAATGAAGATATATGGGACAAGATGGAAGTAACTTGTGTGGTGGACAAGATGTGGAAAACGAGGTTGAAATGGTTTGGGCATGTGAATAGGAGATATACAAATGCCCTTGTGCGCATGTTTGAGAGATCGGATATGACGCGTCCAAAGAGAGGTAGAGATAAGCCGAAGTATCGGAGAGAGATGATTAGGAGGACATAACACATCTTTAGCTTACCGAGGATAACATAGAAGTTGAGTATTAGGGTAGTAAATTAGTAAATAGTCCAGCGTATTTCTTTTTCAAACTTGTACATTTCTTTTCTATACTTGTAGTACTAGTGTTATACCCATATTTCCTATTTCTTATATTTCTATTACTACCTGTTTTTTCTTTTGCTTCAGTTATTTTATTTTTCTGGCTGTTGTTACTACTTTTCTTTCCGTATTTTTTGCTATAACTATTGTGATTGCGTTTTCCTTGAGCCGATGGTCTTAGATTTCTATTAATACATGTTGTTTCTTTTGCTTCAGTTATATTATTTTTCTGACTGTTGTTACAACTTTCTTTCCGTAATTTTTTTGCTATAACTGTTGATTGCGGTTATCTTGAGCCGATAGTCTACCGGTAAAAAATCCCTACCTTTACAAGGTAGGGGTAAGTGTTTGGGTACGTAGTACCTTTTCTAAACTCCACTTGTTAGAATGCACTGAGTATATTATTGTTATTTATTTTACACTAAAATTTAAGGGGACATTAAGAACTTTAGAACTAACCACATGGTTTTACCTAGGGGTGTACAAGCCAAACCATCAAGTCAAACCGAACCGACGAACCAAGTCAAACCGAAGAAAAAACCCGACTCATGGTTTGGTTTGGTTGGTTTAATGTTGGAAAATAAAAAACCGATCACTCTTGATTTGGTTTGGTATTAACAAAAAATAAATCAAACCGAATCTAAACCAAATCGATATTATATATAAATAGATTTTAAAAATTTTATACATAAAAAATAATCATTAAAATCTAATTTGTAAGTATTTTCTAAATTATTTTATAGTTTTCAATATCCTGAGATATTATTTATTTGTGGGCTTGTAAATTCACTATCCACCAAGTAGATTCTATCTATGTAATCCAAATATGAAGCCCAAACTAAACCCAACAAGACAGAAAGACAACAAAACCCAAGTTCTCTGTGCTTATGCACTAGATTGCATATTCAGCAGTTGGTCGTCATCTTGCTCAAATAATTGGTGATTATTATAGTGTTGAGGTTTATCAAGTTTACAATTTACAGTGCTTTGCTTTGTCACATATTTGTTGTCATTTTCTATTATGGAAGATCTTGCAATTATGATTCATAGGAACAATTGGTATTCCTCATAGATTATTTAGAAAAATAGTAATGATGCGGTAATGGTGACCATTTGATCTCTTTTTCAAGCACAATATATAACTAAAAAGAAAAATCGAAAATAAACCGAAAAAACCGAGGAAATAAAAAAAACCAACTAAAACCGAAACCCAAAAAATCGAGTTTATTTTAGTTTGATTTGATTATAAATTTAGCAAAACGAAATAGTTGATTTGATTTTGATTTAATAAAAAACCAAACCAAATCGCATTATGTACGCCCCTAGTCACTTTTACCTACTCGAAGAAACAATGGACCTCGAGGCGCATGTGCATCTTGCTTATACAGAGGCCTAAACATTGAGTGAGCCTAAATTAAAAGGGTATGGCCAAAGCCTATGGTCTAATTAACCGCTCAATTAATATTGCTGGTCAAACTTCCCCATCTAATTTGTGGCGGCGCATCCAAGGTATGCACTTGCTGTTTTCGTATTTGTCCGTCCAAAGTTCAATACTCTGTTTTAATTTGTCTACTCCTTTCCGTCCATTTTAACTGACCTTTTTTATATTTTCGCATATCTTAATAAATTCACTTTTTAGTACTTTATTAGTTTCAATTTATGTAAACCTGTTTAAATGGGTATGGAGTTTAAGAAAAAATAAGACTTTTTGAATTTGTGGTCCTAAATAAGTCAAAAAAGGATCTAGAGTATTTGTATGGTTATAAAAGCTTCTCATTAAGGGTAGAATTGGAAGTTTACGATAAATTCTTTCCAAATTTAGAAAGGGGTCATTCTTTTTTGAACGGACAAAAAATTTAATAAGTTCACGTAAACTGGAATGGAGGGAGTATTAATTAACAATAAAATTAACCATTTTAATTTAATTGGTAGTATAACAAATACTCCTACACTCTTTACTCCAAATGCAACTTTAGAAAAAAAAATCAATTCCTTCTTTATATCTGAAAAATTAAATATTATGAATCACAAAAAGTAACCAAAAAATCAAATAAAGTGGACCAGAGCAAGTATTATTAGCAGTAATAATAATAATCGTACGTAGTAGGGGTTGGTGGCATCTTTTTGTTTTCCCCAAACTTTTTGTGATTTTTAGTTCAATTGAACCATTTTTCTCTACAATTATTCACCGTTACGCCGAGCGGTGAAATAATTGTTTGGATTGTTGTTACACGTTGTTTCTTAATATACTCCTTATTGTATTATATTGTATTATATGATGAATACAACGTTTGGATAGATTCATCGTTTCATGATATCAACACTAATAATATGAAGAATAAACTTGTAATATTACTAAGAAAAAATAGAATAAATTATTATAGAAAAGCGTATGATAAATGATAAAATATGATTATTTAATAATAAAGAAGCGCAAGATGACAGAAAAAAGTAAGGTTATGACGCCACCACACTATATCCGTCATTCCATAAAGTAACACTTTTTGTTGTTACATAACAACAAATTTAATAATATAATACAATAAAACTTAAATAACAATAAAAATAAATATTATATTTAAAGTAACCATAACAACTCTTCGTCTTTACTCGTAGCCTCGGGCCAGAAGTAGGTCCCCTCCGGCTATATATATATATATAAAGAAGAAACTTTAAATTGATATAAGTAGTGGTCCTCAGCAACTTAATAGACAGAAAGAATTAGACACTTATACCGGCCAGAGATTCTGTAGCACATAATTTTTACGAACACTAATATAATACATTTCTTCAATTAATTTAAAATCGTGTTGTACTTCTGTTTGAGTTAGGATGGTTAAGTACATATGTAGCTAAACCAACATTTAAGTTAACAACATATCCCCTAACGAACCTAAATCATACCAAACTTTGTATATTTTTTGACTATTATTTTAAGAAAGGCTATACAATATTATTTTTCCTGTCAAGTTCTACAGGTTGAACAAAACACAACTAAAGCCTTTCACATGGCTTACAATTAAATGGATTCTCTACTAATCTAAGATGATCTTTCTTAGACTTAGAATTAATAAGACAGAAATCATAAAAATACCAAAAAGAATGAAAGGTTGTTAGGCTGTCATAGTATTTTTTTTGGATTTTTTAGGACAAGATCTTTGGAAAATTATCACTAATTAGTGCAATTTTTCTTGTAAGAGTTATAGATGCTTCTTTTTGTAGTAAGGGTTAAGTGTTTGCTTCTACTCTTGGCTTTGTTACCATTGACTTTAAGGAATAATGAGGTGACCTAAATTTTAGGTAATGGTAAACTTACATAATTAATTGTTGAAAGAAGCCTCTCCAGCAAATCAGTCTCCAGTTTGCCTATATATATTGAGAGATGAGTGCATGAGTTCATATCAAATATCATTTTCAATATCAAATATCAAGTTTTTCCACAAAATTTAGCTGCCCAAATTCCTTACCAATGGAATCATCTAAAATTCAACAATCTCTAGAAGGCAAAACTATTTTCATTACGGGTGCCACTGGTTTCCTTGCAAAAAGTATTTCCTCTCTAGCTATTTTATTATCCATTTTTTTACACCACCACTGTAATTTAATTCGTTATAGTATATTATTTACTATTTATTTTAGGTTACCAATTATCTTTTAAATGCAGTTCTGGTGGAGAAAATACTTCGGATGAAACCAAACGTGAAAAAATTATACCTTCCACTAAGAGCTTCGGACACCAAATCAGCCAAGAAACGTTTTTATGAAGAGGCAAAACATATTAGGTACTTTTGTTTAATAATTTTTTTTTACTTGCTTCGTCCATTTCATTTGAACAAGACTATAAGGGAAAATGTTGTACTACGACCTGCATGTGTCCTTTATTAAAAGTGTCAAAAGTGTGTATACTTTTCTGAAATGGAATTTTAATTTATTTTTTCTACATTCATGCAATACTTTTCGTTATTTTGGTTTTTATTATTAAAGGGACCTTGTGTATGAAATTTATTCAAAATATATCCTTTTTAATTTCTTCAAAATTAAATTAAACTCTCATTTTAATTTTCTAGTATCAGTAACAAAGCCAATCAAGCTAACCATGTTAGAGTTACCTAACCTAAATAACTGTAAACTTTGGGTGGTATCTGTAAATGTTTCTCTTTTTGCGACTTGTATTTAATGAATGTTAGGTATTTTCTTTTTATTGCTAGCAAAATTGGGTTAGACTATTTGTTATTTATTGTAGAGCAAGACAGTAATATTTTTGCAAGTTTATTTAATTTTTACACAGGTTATGCAGACTGAATTGTTTAAGGTTCTAAGAGAAAAGATAGGTGCAAAAAACCTAAACACGCTCGTAGAAGAGAAGGTATTTCCAGTTGCTGGTGATATTTCATTTGAGGATTTTGGAATTGAAAATTCGGAGATAAAAGATGAAATGTTCAAAGAAGTCGACATAATCATAAACTCAGCTGCAACTACTAGATTTGATGAGAGGTATGATTGTAAAAATATTAATAAAGTATTTTGATGCAAGAAATTTGATTTAATTCCCTATATGGTATCCACGGTGAAGCCAAGAATTTTGATAAGGGTATTAAAAGTTTAATATATATGTATAAAATATAAAAATTTTGATCTATATACACAATATAATTTTTTATATACGTAAATATTTTTTGATGAAGGGTGTTCAACTAACCACCATTCACTCTTTATGGCTACGCCACTAATGGTATCGATAGCAATAACTGTTTTTTCATATTATCCGTCCTCGATTATAAGTTCTCGTTGACCGTGACTAGTTTCCTTTTTTATTTCTTCTGGTAGATATGATATTGCCATGAATATCAATGTCGTAGGTGCCGTCAACGTCCTCAAGTTTGCTAAAAGATGTGAAAAAGTGAAGATTATTGTTCACGTATCCACTGGTCAGTTTTTAGATCTTAATTAAGGGTCCTTATATATGATATTCATTTTTGGAAAACCAAACGTGTGGTTCTTTTTCCATGTGCTATATATATATATATATTATAATATTATTGTTATAAAAAAAATATTATTTTATTTTGCTAAGGTTTCTTAAAAATCTCGTCTTATATATNTACCAGAGAAATCATTCCTTTTGGGTGAGACACTCAACAAAGACTTGTACTTAGACATTGATGTGGAGAGGAGGGTGATAGAAGACAAACTTAAGGAGCTTGAAGCTCAAAATTTGACATCAAAGGAAGTGACGATAGCCATGAAAGACCTAGGCATTCAAAGGTTAGAAAAGACCTAATTCATTTATTGTTTTTATTGAACCGACGAGAGAGTCTACTGGAAATAGCCTTGCCACCTGCTTAGGGTAGGGGTAAGGTCTGCATACACACTACCATCCCTATACCCTACTTGTGAGATTACACTGAGGTTTTTATTATTGTTATTGTTGTTATTGAACCGACAAAGTCAGTCATTGTTTTCCTGATTTAAGTGATCTAATTGCGTAAGTATTCTCTATACCGTCAGTGCATAGAAATTATGTACAATCTTACTTTCCGGACGCTAACATGGCCTATATTGATTATTTAGGGCATAGGTGACGTACCAAACACATATTCCTTCACAATGGCAATGGGAGAGATGCTTTTTAGGACATTTGAAGGAAAGTTTACAACTTGTTATAATACGTCCAACAATTATCACTAGCACTTATAAAGAGCCATTTCTAGGATGGATTGATGGAGTCAAGTACGTTTGTTATGTTCTTTTTTTTTGCTTGTAAAGTTCATTGCATTTTTTCACTACCAAGAGTAATTCAACGAACTATATATTTTACTCAAGTTCTTTTGATAAAAGTCTAAATTATTTTCAACATGACTTTTTCACTAGTTTTTTCTTGAGCCGAGGGTTTATCAAAAATCGTCTTTCTCTCTCCACAAGATAAATGTAAGGCCTGTGCGCATACACATTTCCCTTCCCAGATCTCATACTCAACGAATATTTTGGGCATATTATTGTTGTTGTTGTGTTCTTAAGATATAATAATGCACAATGTATAAAGAAGTGATTCATATCTCTTATATATTTATAAATAACTTTAATTTGCAGTTGCAGAACAGTGGATTCATTTATCTTGGGATATGGTAAAGGCATATTGAATTTCTGCTTTGGTGACCCAAACACAAAAATAGATGCGGTATGTATTAATTCACTATGCTGGTTCATTTTTTAAAACCTTTTTTTTTCATTATAAAGAAATTATTTATAACTTTTTTTTACCAACTACAAATGAGGTCTGCCTAATTTTTTTACCTCTTTGATTTATTTCAGATTCCAGGTGATATGGTGGTGAACTCCATACTAGCAGCAGTTATAGCACATGGAAATCAATATTATTCTTCTCAAGAATCAATATATCACATTAGTTCTTTTGGAAAAAATCCTCTAAAATCTTGTGATATTCGATTGTTCACGTTGTTGCGGAAATCAAATGTATATAGTATGAATGAGTCACAACACTATACCAAAAATTATAACAGCCATCAAATAATAAATAAGACAATAAAACAACAATAAAAGGAACACCAGAATTTACGAGGTTCGGCCAATTTTGCCTACTTCCTCGAACACAACCAATATTTTATTCCACTCCAAAAATACAAGTGAAATAATACTAAAGAGAGAAGATACAAATGCCTTAAGAAGGTAAGAAGTCAAATGAGAGGTGTTTTAAATCCTAAACAGTAGGCCTTCTTTTATAGGGTGAAATTCTCCCCCAAATTAAGTCCCCCACCGATGTGGGATAGTTTGTCATATTTAACAAATCTCCACCTTGGCAAAATTCTACATCTTCAATTTTCTCTCGGTAACAAACTTTGGTTGTGTCTTCATCTTCAATCTTCAGTGTTCAACAATGTTGATCAAATCCAAGCAATGTTGAAACTTGACCGCAGTCACCACTTTTGTCAGCATATCAATAGGATTCTCCGTAGTATGAATTTTCTTGACCGTGACTCCACCTTCTTCTACGATTTCTCATACGAAATGATAGCGAACATCAATGTGCTTCGTCCTTGCATGATAAACTTGGTTCTTCGCTAATTGAATAACACTTTGATTATCACAAAAAATTGTGATACTTTTTTGTCCAATGCCAAGCTCTTTTAGCAACCCCTGAAGCCAAATTGCATCCTTCACAGCCTCTGCAATAGCCATGTACTCTACCTCTGTTGTAGACAAAGCAATTGTTGACTGCAAAGTAGACTTCCAACTAACTAGTGCCTTTGCAAAAGTAAACACATAGCCAGTAGTTGATCTTCGTTTGTCCAGATCACCCACAAAATCTGAGTCACAATATCCAACTACAGATTGATTTCCTTCCTGCTCAAAAACTAACCCAACATCTACAGTATTATGAATATACCGTAGAATCCACTTCACAGCTTGCCAATGCTCCTTTCATGGATTATGCATATATCTGCTAATAACTCCAACATCTTGTGAAATGTCAGGTCTCGTACAGATCATTACATACATCAAGCTACCAACAACATTTGCGTATGGTACCCTTGACATATACTCCTGTTCAGCTTCATCTTTTGGCGATATAGTAGTACTTAACTTAAAATGGGGAGCAAGTG